GACCCGTGCCCTACCACCGGCTTCGGGTCCGCGCCGGCCATCCAGGGCGCCTGCTCCCCACCCCAGCTGCGGCATCAGCACCCTCCAGCAGACCCCCAGGCGTAACGCAAGACAAAAAGGAGACAAGAGCGAGGGCACACAGGGCCCCTTGCCGGTGCAGTCGTGCCTGGCAAGCTCTCCGCTGCCACGAGCTCGAGCGCCCAACCATCACCTGCGACTCGGCTCAGGATGGCCGAGCAGGCTCAGGTGCTTGCCTGAGGCTGGACACCTTCAACCAGCACAAGTTTTCAGCCTTCACGGCCGCAGCATCGTTTGCACCATATCCATCGAGCTGCTGGTCATTCACGTCTCGTCTCCCACTAGTCCGTGTTTTCAGTAACATCAGACCCCACGAGGCTGGGAAGGAGCCAGGAGCTCTCGCCCAGCCTCGCGCTCACAGCCGGGTCCACACTGAATTCAGACCCGGCTGCTCACACCTTTTCCAGTTGGGTCTCAAAAGCCCGAAGGGATGGAGGCTGCAGTGCCTCCTGGGGCGTCTGATCCTCCCAACAGCAGCCCGGCCCTCCCCGGCTCTGTAACAAGAGATGAGAGGCTGACAGGGGAAGGAAGCCTCTCCAGCAGAGCCTGAACCCTTTTAATTAGCACAGGTTGAAAGGAAGCACCAATTAAGCCAATGCCCCAGTTCTCAGAGGCTGGCAAAACACCCTGAGCCGGGGATAGACTCGCCGAGCAGAGCCAGCCACACGTTTATGTGCACAGCAGGACAAAACCGGGAAAAGGCTGTCGCGATGTTGAGCCCAGGAGAGTCGCTGCTTTAGGAGCCTCAGGCGCCGTTTGGCATTTCAGCCAAACACGTTTCAACACGAACCAAGAGGATCTTGTTTTAGAGACGCCACGGCAGTGCGGATAAAGATGAAAGGTGGGGATTTTACCAATCTACCCAGGTTTCGCATTAAGGTAAGAGCATTAACCATCCCATCCGCCCAAGGAGGTGCCTGCAGAAGGATGGAGCCGACAGGAAACACAATACAGTTAGCCACCAATTTAGCTAATTGACTGACCTTGCCGAGGGACTAACCTTTCACCCCTGCTTGACAGCTACCGAAGGAATAACATTCGAGCAGCCTCGTCCCATCAAGGCATCGCTTCCCCGCGGGTCGGGGCAGATTAACAGGGACCCAAGGTCAGGGCGGCACGCGTGGCCGGCACCGGAAGGACCAGCTCAGCACCTCCACGGCAATGCGCGAGCCTTGCTGGGAGCAGGAGCGCTGCAGCCGGGGAAACAAACTGGCTCTGGCGGCGAGCCTCCTCTTAGGGCCAGTTTTTAAAGCTCAGCTTCGTCTAAACGACGCTTGGGACGGGAGACCTGGGAATCCGGAGCAAGGCTTTACTGCAGGCAAGGTGGAGCACAAGCTGCTCCAAGGCACGCAGCAAGACGGGACGGGGGGGAAGCCACGTTACAGACCATACCTCCTGCCTTCC